CCCCCCTTTCGTCCGGCCCGAATCTGGCGGTGCCCGCGCCAGCCAAGATTGGCGGCGAGCTCGAGGCCGAGGCGCGAGGGGGCGGCATCCTAAAAAAAGCGTGTGTCGCCTAAGAAAGCGGAAACATCTTCTCAGCAGGCCCAAACCTCCGGCGAGCAATCCGGGCGTTTTTCACAGATCTCGGCTTTTGGGGGGCGTCTTCGGGCCCCGGGACAAACGCGAGGGGATCGGCCAAACGTCTCCCGGGGACCGGGTCGGGAGCTCTGGGGCCGCAGATGGAACGAATCAGATCGGCGAGTGTCAGGGGGCGCTGGAGGTTTCGGGGAGGACTTCCTGGAAGACGCTGGGCCCTTCCAAAAAAAAGGCCCCATGCCTTCTGAGAACGGGGCCCTCACAAACGGAGCCTGAGAAGCTGGGGCCAGGGGATCGCGCCGACGTCGGCGTGGAGAAAGTCAGACTCCACATCGAGGCATCGCCGAAGCATCGAGATCCTCCGACCCCAGATCTGCCCAAGCCCCACTGTGGTCGGCCTGGAATTGAAACCTCCAGGCGTTCTCAGAATCGGGCACACGCTAAAATGGATCATCTGGGGATGGACAGAACCCCCTTTGGTACAACGTGGTTTGGTGACAACGACCTCGGGCCCAGGCCTGGTGGGCGCAAGCCTGGAAAATGATGGCCGCGGCGCCCTCTCGAGAACCGAAAACGGAGAATTCACCAGTCGACGTCTCAGGGTGGGGTTTTGTCCAACCCCGATAGACTGGATTACGGATCCGTGGATCCGGCGCCCACGCGACAGATCCACGAGTCGCGGAGAATACCCCCCGAAGGCCAGCGCGCCGCCTGGTTCGGCGACGGAGCCCGCCGATTCTTGCATGAGAGCGGGGCCCGTCGCTACTCCGCGCGCCTTCCTCCATGTTTGCGCGTCCTCGACCCATGCCTTCTTGGAAACCCCTCCGCCTTCCATTGAGAAAGAAGGAAGGGGCCCAGACACACACACACACACAAACACAAACACACACACAGACACACAGAGACACAGACACAGACACAGACACAGACACAGACACAGACACAGACACAGACACAGACACAGACACAGACACACACACACACACACGCACACACACACACACGCACACACACACACACGCACACACAGACACACAGAGACACAGACACAGACACAGACACAGACACAGACACAGACACACACACACACACAGGTAGACCCAACCTCCAGGATTCCCCATGTTTCCCCATATCTTCGGGATCGTCGTCTTCCTCCCCACTTCCCATACTTGTTCATACTTCCCTTGCGAACGACGACTAGTTATGTCTGTCGATTTGTCTCTCCTGAAAGAAACCAGCTGCATGAGCTTCTGAACGCTTGGAACTCTGCGCGGATCTCCTGGATCCACGCTGGGGCCCCCCTCCCCGGTGCGCGGCGCGAGCTCCTCGAGGACCGTCCTGCCCGCCCCACCGTTCCCCCTGGGTGCGGGCACACCGCCCTGCAGCCACCACGGGGCGAAATGGGCTGGCGGAGTGAGCGTCGGCGGTGGACAAACCTCCCTTTAGTAAACCTCCCCTTAGTGAAAACGGCCTATGACCGAAACCGACGGACCTGGACCCGCAAAAAGAACGGCCGCGACGCCCTCTCGCGAACCGAAAACGGCCGATTCCTGAATGGACGTGTCAAGGTGGGAGGTCTGTCCACCCCCGGGAGCGAAGCGATGAAAAAGAACAGCGGGAACTCCGCGCGGATCTCTTGCATCGACGCTGGACCCCGCTCCCGGGCGCGCGAAGCGCGCCCGGAGGCGGCGCCGGGGATGCGCCGCCACGGGGGCCAAGCGCATACGAGTGAAATCCCTGCGCGCCTCCGGACGATGATTTGCCCTGGTGGCCGCGGTGCCCTCCCCAAGACGTCAGGCCGCGCGTCGGAACAGACGGCGCGGCGACGCATCGATTTCGACTCTAGCCCAGGCTGGCGCCTCCTCGGCCCACACCTCCGCAGAAGCCCCCCGCCCCGCTCGCCCGCTCGCCCCGCCCGCTGGGGGGGCCAGGCCCCCTGCGCCCCATGCCTCCGCCAACTTCCCTTCCGCCACCACCACGCACGCAAGCCAAGGGGCTCCAGCTCCAGCTCCGAACCGGTGGGCCCAGGAGGGTCGCTCTCGCCTCCCTGGCCGGGCGAGGCAGGCATGGAGCGCCGACCCTGGGCCACAGGCTCGGCCTGGCCAAGTTCGGTGCCCTCCCCCTCCTGTGCGCGCAGCCCACCTGCGGCAGATTCGTGCGGCGACGACGTCGGCGCTGGTCTCCGACACCCCGTGGACCGTTCGACCTTGAATGACCGCGGCTGCCCGACAGCTCAGCTCTGAAGGGGCCCCAGGACACACAAATAAATACACACAGATAAAAGATTCCCCATATTTTCCCATATTTGTGGGGTTTTGGTCTTCCCCCCCACTTCCCATAGTTTTGCATATTTTCCTGGGAGTCGACGATTCATTGTGTCTGTGTGTTTCTTTCCCTCTCGATTCTCGCTCGACATCGGTCGGCCCTGGGCCACGGGCTTGAACGTCCAAACCGACGTCGCCGCCGCGCCAGCGCGGCGCGAGCCTGCCGAACAGCTGGTGCCCTTCCCCCTGGCGGGGGCCCCCGCGCCAGCCTGCCGACAGAAGAGAGGGAGGGGGGGAGGAGGAGAAGGAGGAGGAGGAGGAGGAGGAGGAGGAGGAGGAGGAGGAGAGGCGGGGGAGAATGAGGAGGTGGAGGAGGAGGAGGAGAGGAAGGAGGAGGAGGAGGAGGAGGAGGCGGGCGGCGGCGGCGGCGGCGGCGGCGGCGGGAGCGGGGGGGGGCGGCGCAGCGGGGGGGGGGCGGCCGCCAGCTCGTCCTGGCACCTCTTCGAGGACGCCTGCCGGGGCCAGCGTTGTGCAGGGCCCGGCCCCGCCGCTCCTCCTCGCGAGCGCCGGGCGCACCGGTGGCCACGCCCTCGCGGCCTGGCTTCCCGGGCGCGGTCCCGCGGAGGCGCGGGCGCACGGCTGCGATCCGCGCAGGGGCGTCCGCGAGAACGCGCACCGCGTCCGCGGAGTCGCGGCGCAGGGGCCTGGCGCACGAGGCAGTGGAGATGGACTTTTGTTCTCCACCACGACCTCCTGGGAGGGGGTCGAGAAGGGTCGAGGACCGGCTCGGGGGGACTCGGCATCGGCGACGGATCGCCGACAGCGCGGTGATGGTCCCCGATGGCGGAAACGCGCGCTCCTCGGCGGGACACCCACAATCCCCGATTGGCGATGCATGGACGAGCACAGCAGAGCAGCACCCATGGTCCGATAGAGTGCCTTTGACTAACGGCGAATGAGGGCCCCAAAACTGGAAGATAGCGGATCAGGCGTTCGTGAGTCATTAAAAAACGACGCCATGTGTGGCCCTGCAGGGGGATACATCTGGTCTGCAAGCGAGACCATCATGAGGGTACATCGTGAGGGTTCGCCTCGGAACTCCACCACTGTCTGGGCCAGAGGCGAATGCGGAATGAAGGACGAGAAGAAGGAGGAGGAGGCGGAGGAGGAGGATGAGGAGGAGGAGGAGTGAGGAGGAGAAGTGGAGGGAGGAGGAAGGAGGCAGGAGGAGGAGAGAGGAGGAGGAGGAGGAGGAGGAGGAGCAAGAGCAGGAGTTCGGGAGTTCGCTGCCGCCAGACCGCGGGCACCGACTAGCGCCAGACGAGAGCGAGGGCAGTGGCGCTAGCCGAGGCAGTACCTTCGGCCGTCGGCGTCCTCAGATGGCCGATCGGGGGTCGGCGTTCATTCCCCCCCGTCCCCACTTTGGGGCTGTGCCCCCACCTTCTCCTCCTCCTCCTCCTCCCTCCTCCTCCTCCTCCTCCTCCTCCTCCTCCTCGTCCTCGTCATCCTCCTCCCTCCTCCTCCTCTCCTCCTCCTCCTCCTCCTCCTCCTCCCCCGCCTCCTCCCCCGCCTCCTCCTCCTCCTCCTCCTCCGCCTCCTCCTCTTCCAGCCATCGCGCTGGTCACTCAGACTTGTGCGCCTCCAGGCGGTCCGCACCTCTTCCCCGCTTCGGACAGGCCCTGGAGGCCTCTGGAGGGGCCAGGAGGATCTCATATGTCCCCAGCCTCAGGATGGCGTGCCGCTCGGCTTCTCGGGGCGGAGGGGCGAGAAAAACGTGGAACCGCTGATGCTGCAGAGGAACGAATAAACTGGGCATCGCTCGGACGCCTATTCCCAGAGGGTTGCCGACTTCGTGCGTGTATTTGGTTCGCAGTGGTCCAAGATGCTCCTCGATGGTCCTCGCTGAAACGCTGAAAGGACAAGTCCGAGTGATGCCAAGATGGCAGCAACAAAAATCAACCGCCTGAGGCCCGCGCGGATTTCCTTGCATCGGCGCTCGGCCCGCGCGCCAGGGGCGGCGCTGGAGGCGCCACCAGCGGGGGCCCAGCACCGATCCAACAAATTCGCGCGGAGCGGCACGCGCCGTTGTTTGCTCTTGATGCCTGGGGACTGGGGCGCCTGCGCGCGCATTATCGTGCAGAGCCGACGCCTGGCGGGCCAGAACCGGCGGCGCGGCGCGAGGAAGCAGGCGCTCCTGGCAGCATGCGCCGCCACCGTGCCTGGCAGGGGCCACCCCCGGCTCTGGCGTTAGCGGTGACGCCCTCCATCCTCCACTCCAAGTCCAAGAGGGTCTGCACAGCAAACAGCTACGATAAGGAGTTTGGCTGAAACAAATCTTGGGGCACATTGTTCGTCGACTGCTGAAGGCCCTAAGGTGCCCCCCGAGGCTCTGGGGGTCCCTGGGGCCGTCGGGCGATAGGGAACGAATGCGCGCGGGGGCCCCCGCTGGCGGGCCGATGCCCTGCTGGAGTGGCCTGCAGTGCTGAAGGGGAACTGGAACACACAAATAAATACACACAAATAAAAAGATCCCCCATATTTTCCCATATTTTCTGGATGTTTGTCTTCCCGCCCAATTCCCATACTTCCCTTATTTTCGTGGCACTCGACGATTGATTGTGTCTGTGTGTTTCTTTCCCTCCTGAAATGCACCATCCTGGGGCCCAAGCTGGCCCTGGCCAGGCTCGGTGGTGGTGTCGACGCGCACCCTGCGGAGCTCCTGCCCTGACGACGCGGACGCTGGTCTCGAACACCGCGCACATATCTCGGTCGTGGGCGATGGCGGCTGTCCGACAGAGGACACCGCTCGAGGCCAGTCAGGTTCAGGCCGCCGGCGGCCCTGGACCCCATTGCTCTGACTTGTTGTTCGGGGCCCCACCGGCACCGAGCGATCCTCGAGGCCGCGATCCTATCAGGGACAATCGGGGCCCAGCGAAGCCAGAGAACTTCACAGAAACCTTCTGGTGAACCGCGAAGAGAACTCCCATGATTGCACCAGGACGGGCATCAGCCGTCTCACCATGAGGTCCTTGCAGGATGGCCACGTGAAACTTCCGAAACAAATCCTTGAATTTCGCCCACGTTGCCTTCTGAAGCGATGGGCTGGTCCAAAATCCGGCCCAAAAAGTGCTCACATTACACAGCGCAACCTTCAAGCTGCACTAGGTGGCAAGGACAAGAAAGAGGCTGGAAAATCAATACCCAATGGTGAGCTCCTTGAAACCATGCCCGTCGAAAGAGGCAGACGATGAGCTCGGCGAAACCACGCCCATCGAACTGGAGGGAGACTACGAGCGGAAGAGGAGCTGAGCGGAGCAATAGAATACTGCAGACAATGGCTCTGACAGCAGGTGCGCAGCAATGACCTGTGCTGCTGAGCAGAATTGTAAGATCCTCCCGCAGCTGGGCCCACAGCTTGCTGCCGGAGCAGCTCATCATGGACGCGATAAAGATATCGCACACGATTTTGTCAACTCAGGTCGGTGACTCTGTCGATGAGGTCCGTCACTTCCTTCTCGGGGATCTCCCACCGTGCGAAGGAGGAGCAGACTGCTTCGAACGTGAAGCCTGTGGAGTCGCTGCCTCTGCTTCCAGGAAAGCTTGCACGTGTGCTCCTGCGACGTGGGGTAGCACGAGGAGGAGGAGGGAGAGGAGGAGGAGGACGAGGAGGAGGAGAAGGAGCAGGAGGAGAAGGAGGAGGAGCAGGAGCAAGAGTGGCCGTTGGCCCCCAGGCGTCAGCCCGGAGGTCTGGCTCCGCATGTGCGAGACATGCCAGGCGGTCTCCTCCCAGAGATACGGCTGGCCGCCCGCTGCTCGGCGCGATCGTCCGCTGGGAGTTCCTTCCGAGTGCGGAACTTGCGAGACGATGGAGTACAGGGCAGTTTTTGATACATGGGATGTTTAAAGATATTGGATCTTTGATACATGATTAAGTTATATGAATACATGTATGCATGAACTCATCGTTGTCTGTAATACCGAATCCCTGCATATTTGAATACATGATCCGCACGCGGAGCATGTATTAAAAACGGCACTGTACGGCTGGCCGCCCGCTGCTTGGCGCGATCGTCCGCTGAGAGTTCCTTCCGGATGCGGAATTTGTTAGACGATGGGGTACGATTATTCTGCATGAACGACGTCTTGTCGCTCATCTGTTCGGAGGAAGCCCGGGCAGCGGCAGCATTCAGGAGCATGACGCCGTAGCTCTTGGGGAGGCCCTTCAGCTGCAGCCTGCCTCTCGCCATGTAGTGGAAAGGGACCATGGGCAAGACCACCGATCTCCAGTGGGCAGTCATCGGGGCGCACGTGATGGATCTTGGAAAAGGTACCAATCCACTTCTTGCACTCAGTGATTGGGCCAATCTTCACAACGCGAGCGGTGGCCTGCAGCCCTACGAGCACCATCCTAACGAATGCCGCTGGCCGAGTTCGAGACCTTAAGGTCTTGGACGTCCTTCGTGAGGTTCCTGACGGCGGTGGCCAGCTCAACCGTCCTGTCGCGAGCACCAAAGGCAGCCCAAGGGTCAGGTTGGCCCTGTCCACTGGAAACACCACCACTGCCCACGAAAATATCCCCACCCGAGTTGGCCGATCCACTCAAGGACTCCAGCGAGGTCTCGAAGGGGGCCATCCTAGCGTCCCAATGGGCCTTGTACGACTGGACCTCCTTCATAACGGAGCTTTGCGACTCCGCGATCTGGTGATTGAGCTCCTCGCCCAGCGTGGCCATGAACGAGCGAATTTGCAAGGCCACGGTGATGCATGACGTGACCATGCTGGCGATGCTGTCGGAGTCGATGCTGGAATAGTCCACGAGGGATATCGAATCTGTACCACCTGAGCGACCAAGCATGCTCCCGCCTCCAGACCGACTGCGCTCACCGAGGCCGGGCGAAAGTGAAGGACTTGGAGAGCGATAGCGCATGGCCTCATCCTCATCTCGACACGACCGAGGATGAAAAGGCGAACTTGACGATCTCACAAGCTCACTCTTCTCAATTCGGGCACGTCGCTTCCTTATGACTGGAACCACTAAACCTAACCAGAACGGGATATTCAACTGCTTACCCGCTAGGCAAGGTAAACGAGCACAGCCAGACCTGTGAGCGCTAGGCGGCTCGCCACAGGCATCATCGAGCATGGTGGAAAGCGGCAGTGGTCTGGCCTCGGATCAGACACATCCGCTTCTCTTCCATGGCAAAGGCACATCTGGAACAAACAAA